GCGAGTTCAAGATACTTAGGATTCGTCGCGAACAGATGAAGCGGGAGAGAAGTTAATCCGCTTTGCGAATAATTATTCACAGCGTACTGTTCTCCCTCGTGACAACGCGAGTGTCCGTCTTCCGAGTGGCACGCGCAACTATTATCCCCCCGTTCCACCTGGAAGAGGGACTTTCCTTTTATTTTTCATATCGATGATAATCGGATGAAGGAGAAACGGCTCTGGTTTACCCCGTTGCGAGAACTTTCTGTGTTTCTTCGACTCGCTTGTTCGATTTCTGGCCGTCTCGGGGGCCGTAACGGTGACTCTTTTCCAACTTTTGTTACACTTTCCGCGGTGAAGTGGCGCGGAAGAAGCACGTTCGAATGGGTAGCAAATGGATCCGAATGATTCTCTCTCCTCGAAGGATATAGGATCGTAGAGATTGTTTGCGGACGGGACAGTGATTAGAGTAGACGTGCGGTGTTGTTTTGGCAAGAAGGGAAACTCCGGGAGGTGTGTGAAACCCTCTAAGAATTGGTGGAAGATTACTTATTGGTAATAGAAGAAGTTTGTTGTGGTAGGAGAAACATTAGCTTCTGGTTTTGGATTTCAGTGTACGGTAAATCCTCGCGCGAGTCACGTCTAACCCCTACGTCTGATTACACACGTCTCGGACTACTTTTAGAAACGTCGATCAGCGGCCGATGGGGACAGCTGACGTTCGAACTTAACCCTTTGTTCTGTGATCGTTTCACTTCTCACGTATACGAGGATTAACTCTTTTAATAGTTAACCTTTAAAACGATCTATTAAAATTAACCTTTGTTACCGGTGCGACCTATTTCAATCGTATCGCGACCAGAATCCTATTCCTTATTATAAGACAAAGAGTTGAAATAAATCTTCTTGGCATATATTCCAAACGAATATTCGTCTTTAAAAAAATCACCTTATTCTCGAGGCAACGCGACGCAAAAGGAAGGCGTCTCATGTTCCATCACCTCCTACCGTTTCTATCGAACGAAAACGAGATTTCTAACAAGATTTCGCCGGAACGAGAGCGATCGTGGGCGGCGCGGCGCGCGGAACGAAGGGGAGGAACGATCACGCGTCACCGTTCCAAGGAATTAGGTGGCCGAATTCGCGAGTAACAGGGCTGTTTACATCGAAACGCTTTTAAATCCCGGCCGGTGGGTCTGCCGGACGAGCCAGCCCCGGTTCTGAGGATCTGTGCAACGCGTCACACCCTTCGGTTGCCGTTGACAAACGAGCGAGATACAAAAGTAGGTGACTCGGACCGACCACTTTCATCCCTCGCGTTCAACCTAGCCGTGTGTATGCACGGTCCTCGTCGCTCCTCGCTTGCAAATAGAGAGGGTAGTCTTCGAGTTTCCTCGCCTACCGTAACTCCCGCCTGCACACGACTATTTGATGTTTGTCACACGACTTTCCTTCCCGGGCAGATTGACATTTTTTTTGCCGTTTCTGCCCGTTTCGAGACGCGAAATGTAATTCCGCGAGGCGCCACGCCGTGTTTGCCCGTGTACGCTGGGAACACGTCTATGATGCTGTTTTCACCGTGCAAGATTGAAGGTTTGCGCCGGGATTGAAGGTTTTTTCGTATTTCCTCGAAAGAACTACCCGTTTCTGGGACAGTGGTGCTATACCGTCGGTACAACAGTGGCGCATGTGTTCAGATTTGACAGTGAATGAATTTCGAGAGAGCGGCGACTTTTTTCTTCTGGTGACATTTTGTTCCAGTGTTTCTCAACGTTTACCCTCGTTTCTTCTCGTTCCCGTTAATTAATCACAACGGTTTGCGCGACGAAGTGAACGTTCGAACGTGTGAATTTTGCAAGGATTTCAGATGCCACTGAAACCGTTCACGTTAGGAGGTA